ATATGCAATGGTGCTCGTTTCCTTGTTGCCTAAAACAACCGAGTCTTAGAATTTCTGACTGAACGATGTAAATTTAGCCGCAATCCTCAAAGATTCTGCCCCATTCGTTATTACGGAGGGCAGACCAGGTTCTCTGAAAACAAACTGTTTATGCTAAAGCGGTTTTTTGATTTAGACTCAACTGCAATGCAAAATAATCCGCATTTACCCAAAGAACAATGAAAAGGGCTGAGATCTTATGTTTTATCAATTCCGTCCTTCAAACAACAATTTCAACAGGTAAAGTCAACTTCAATTGTTTGTTTTCATTTTCCAAATCGTCGGTTATTTCTCCTCTCTCATCTCATAAATCTCATAAACATTGTCTCTCAACAATGTCGCCTACTTCGGTTACTGTTGGCTTTCGCCAAAATAGTGTCAGTCAATTCTGTTGGAGCAGAATGCTTACGAAGCGATTCTTTATACGAAACTTGTACAATTTCTAAAGCGATAACTAGACGGCGTTCGATACAGCCCAGCCTGAATCAACGAAGATTTCATTTCAACTAAATTTTAACAACCGTAGTTTGTGCCGATTAAAATAATAGAATTTATTCAAGGAAGCTTATTCATGCAGACTGTTTTGAATAACGAGACGATTGCGCACGAAGTTCAAAAACTTTGTTTTTTGTCATAAGCCACTTCTGCAAACTTTCTTTTTAAATTCTGTCCTATGCTTTTCGTTGATTTCACTTCGTTTAGCTACAATATCATGTATGTCTTTTAACAATGAAGATTTTTGTTTCTTCCTTTTGATATCAGTTCGCTCTTTTCACAACTGTCGTCGATTAATCACCTCGCATTGTAACGATAACGTTATAGTATTTGTTGGTGCTTTCACAGACTTTCATATCATCTTTGTTCCTGTTTTCTTTCAGACACATTATTCACTTTATTACGAAATGTATGATAAGCTGCCGTACGCACTTTATTGCGAATTTGTCAGCTCTATGAATATATACTTCTCATTTACATAGGTTGTAAATAATAAGCCAATTTCGAATTAATTATATTAAAATTTCCCAGTAACTTACCCTTTGAAATAAACAACGCAAATAAATTTTGTCAATCGTTAGTTAGGTCACCCTGCTGCGTAAACATAAATTAATCTCATGAAACAGCGCAGG